TCTCAACCAAGTGGTTCTCAGTAGCCCCCCTACAAAGAGGCACTTGATCCAAAATGCCCATGGTGCCTAACGTTGAGAAATCCTGCCTTGCGGGTAGCTCTCTGCCTCTTACTTAACCTTCATTAAGAGCTTTCCTAGTTAATGTGGTCTGTTGTCATAGAAAATTCTCAATCCCAGATTTTATTTATTTAGTGTCTCCTCTTTATTTGTATTTTACCTGTTTTAAGAAGAAAATTTAAATAGTTAAAATGCGTAGGAAAAATAAGTTTGACAGGACAATTTCCTTCATATACATACCCTTTAAAATTACTTGGGGGGGAACTTCTCTGGTGGTCCAGTGGCTAAAACTCCATACTCCCAATCCAGGGGGCTCGGTTCGAACCCTGGTCAGGGAACTTGATCCCAGATGCCACATCTAAAGTTTGAATGGATCCTGCATGTCACAACTAAGACCTGGTGCAGTCAAATAAATAAAACTTACAAAATAAATAGATAAATAGTTTAGGAGAAATTGTGAAAATAATTTAGATAGAGCAGTTATAAAGTTAACAGGGGCCTATCAAATGTCTTAGGAAGAGTAGTTGTTTTTCAACCAGTCCTTTTCATTTTGCTAAAGTGTCCCCTGACGATGTTGCAGGCAGAAAAGGGGTTAAATGAGAGCAGCTAACTGATTGTCACCAATTGGATGGGAGAAGGGAGCCATGTGGAGGCCTTCAGGCTTCCTGCCTCCAAAGCTGCTCTGTCGTATCCTCCTGTATGTCTCCATCTCATTCCCAAGGCTAGAGGTAGATACAGTGGTGAACGCATATCTTAATCCATAGAAGTACATACAGATGATTGAACAGGGTCAAGAACAAAGGCCTGTGGAGGGGTCAGTACATTTACTCCTCTAGTGAGAGGTATTGGAGCTGTGAGACACTGTTCGGAGTTGCCTAAAAGAAAGTGCAGACATCTCTGTCTGCAGTTTGGAAGAAAATCCCAGGTGCGTAGGCTGCTCTTTCCTGAGTGTGCAGATCATCACTTTCTTTCCCCTCACTAGCTCTGTCCTCTTCTCTCAGGGGACAGTCACATGATGATATCTTACCCTGGAATCCAATTTTTATCCTGAAGTCGTGTTTACATGCTGAAAGTGGTTCTTTTCTGAATGATGGAAAGCTTCAAGGTCATAATTAAATTTAGCCCCAATTCCTGTGTTATTTAGGTGCTTATGCAATAAATACAAGTGGCTGTCTTGCCATTCTTTTTTAGCAAAGACTAACTGACCATGCAGCATTTTAACTTTCCTTCGGGTTTTTGTAGTATATTTAAAATCTTTCTCTGAATAGTCAATAAAATGTAATATTTCTAGCCTTTTCTCAAATCAGAATTTTGTTATTTTAAAACATATGTCTTCTTTAAGTTCAGTTCAGTTCAGTTTAGTTCAGTCGCTCAGTCGTGTCTGACTCTTTGCAACCCCATGGACTGCAGCACTCCAGGCTTCCCTGTCCATCACCAACTCCCAGATTTGACTCAAACTCATGTCCATTGAGTCAGTGATGACATCCAACCTTCTCATCCTCTGTCGTCCCCTTCTCCTCCCACCTTTAATCTTTCCCAGCATCAGAGTCTTTTCAAATGAGTCAGTTCTTCGAATCATATGGCCAAAGAATTGGAGTTTCAAATTCAGCATCAGCCCTTCCAATGAATATTCAGGACTAATTTCCTTTAGGATGGACTGGTTGGATCTCCTTGCTATCCAAAGGACTCTCAAGAGTCTTTTCCAACACCACATTCAAAAGCATCACTTCTTCGGCACTCAGCTTTCTTTATAGTCCAACTCTCACATCCATACATGACTACTGGAAAAACCATAGCTTTGACTAGATGGACCTTTGTTGGCAAAGTAATGTCTCTGCTTTTTAATATGCTATCTAGGTTGGTCATAACTTTTCTTCCAAGGATCAAGCATCTCTTAATTTCATGGCTATAGTCACCATCTGCAGTGATTTTGAAGCCCCCCAAAATAAAGTCTGTCACTGTTTCCATTGTTTCCCCATCTATTTGCCATGATGTGATGACACAAGATGCCATGATCTTCATTTTCTGAATGTTGAGTTTTAAGCCAACTTTTTCACTCTCCTCTTTCACTTTCATCAAGAGGCTCTTTAGTTCTTCACTTTCTGCCATAAGGGTGGTGTCATCTGCATATCTGAGGTTATTGATATTTCTCCCAGCAATCTTGATTTGTGCTTCATCCAGTCCAGCATTTCACATGATGTACTCTGCATATAAGTTAAATAAACAGGGTGACAGTATACAGCCTTGACCTACTCCTTTCCCTATTTGGAACCAGTCTCTTGTTGCATGTCCAGTTCTAACTGTTGCTTCCTGACCTGCATACAGATTATCAAGAGGCAGGTCAGGTGGTCTGGTATTCCCATCTCTTTCAGAATTTTCCACAGTTTATTGTGATCCACACAGTGAAAGGCTTTGGCATAGTCAATAAAGCAGAAATAGATGTTTTTCTGGAACTTTCTTGCTTTTTCAATGATCCAGCAGATGTTGGCAATTTGATTTCTGGTTCCTCTGCGTTTTCTAAATCCAGCTTAAACATCTGGAAGTTCATGATTCACACACTATTGAAGCCTGGCTTCGAGAATTTTGAGCATTACTTTGCTCGCATGTGAGATGAGTGCAATTGTGATAGTTTGAGCATTCTTTGGCATTGCCTTTCTTCAGAATTGGAATGAAAACTGACCTTTTTTAGCCCTTTGGCCACTGCTAAGTTTTCCAAATTTGCTGGCATATTGAATGCAGCACTTTCACAGCATCCATCTTTTAGGATTTGAAATAGCTCAACTGGAATTCCATCACCTCCACTAGCTTTGTTCATAGTGATGCTTCCTAAGGCCCACTTAACTTCACATTCCAGGATGTCTGACTCTAGGTAAGTGATCACACCATCATGATTATCTGGGTTGTGAAGATCTTTTTTGTATAGTTCTGTGTATTCTTGCCACCTCTTCTTAATAACTTCTGCTTGTGTTAGGTTCATACCATTTGTGTCCTTTATTGTGCCCAACTTTGCATGAAATGTTCCCTTGGTAGCTCTAATTTTCTTGAAGAGATCTCTAGTGTTTCCCATTCTATTGTTTTCCTCTATTTTTTTGCATTGATCACTGAGGAAAGCTTTCTTATCTCTACTTCTTATTCTTTGTAACAATGCATTCAAATGGGTATATCTGTCCTTTTCTCCTTTGCCTTTTGCTTCTCTTCTTTCATAGTTGTTTGTAAGGCCTCCCCAGACAACCATTTTGCCTATTTGTATTTCTTTTCCCTGGGGGTGGTCTTAATCACCTTCCTGTACAAAGTCACGAACCTACGTCCATAGTTCTTCAGGCACTCTGTCTATCAGATCGAATCCCTTGAATCTGTTTGTCACTTCCTCTGTATAGTCGTAAGGGATATGATTTAGGTCATATCTGAATGGTCTAGTGGTTTTCCCTACTTTCTTCAACTTAAGTCTGAATTTGGCAGTAAGGAGTTCATGATCTGAGCCACAGTCGGCTTCTGGTCTTGTTTTGCTGACTGTATAGAGCTTCTCCATCTTTGGCTACAAAGAATATAATCAATCTGATTTTGGTGTTGACCATCTGGTGATGTCCATGTGTAGAGTCTTCTCTTGTGTTGTTGGAGGAGGGTATTTGCTATGACCAGTGGATTTTCTTGGCAAAACTGTTAGTAGGGCCTTTTAGTAGGGCCTCTTCTTTCAATAGGGCATAATAAAGCTGTCTATATGACCTTTCAGATGCGAGAAAGAATTCCTTTGCAAAAACATCCTGAAGTAAAATCTAAACCCCCTGAGTCCTTCCAAGTCATGAATATTTATTAGTGAATATTCAATTCATTGGTACTAGAACCCATACGGTGATCAACAGTGCCTTGAAAGAAGGCAATTTGAGTACATACAAAATTTCTTCTGTGTTAAATACATCATGAAAACAAAGATAGTAAATGCTTTAAATACGCAAAAGGGATGTGGGGTTAAATTAGAACCTTAAATAATCTTGATTGATTAGTTAAGTCAATAGACAAAAAGAAAATGAATTTTAATTGACATGAATATAGATTCAGTAAGCCAAAGAGAACCCGTGCACACACAAGTCAGGATTTTGTTTGAGGATGGCAAAAATACATATTTGGGGTTATGGTTGATGGAAAGTTTTGTCAGTGCAGAATGACTGTGTAAAGGTAGCGTGGTGCTGCAACTACCATTGCTACTAATTAGCTTATGGTCTTTGTATAGTTACTGTGAGCCAGTGGTACTCTAAAGCCCTTCACTTATGACCACTCACCCAGGACAGGCAAACAGGATTGTAGGACACAGAGCTATTCTTTCCTCCCCTAGGTCAGCCGAACACCAAGCAGTAGCATAGTGGGGACCCAGCCATCCAGCTCAGGTCCCATGTCCCTCAAAATTCTACCTGCCATGATGTTTTCACCACAGGTAAAATTCCAATCTCTCTATTTGCTGAGCTTTGAGGGGACAAGAGCTATTTCTCAGGATAGGAATAGATGCTCATTCCCTGGTGGGTCAGATGGTAAAGAATCTGCCTTCAATGCAGGAGATGTGAGTTCAATCCCTGGGTCAGGAAGATTCCCTGGAGGAGGAATTGGCAACCCACTCCAGTATTCTTACCTGGAGAATCCCATGGACAGAGGAGCCTGGCGGGGTACAGTCCATGTGGTCTACATAAGAAGAAGTTGTAAAGATTCTAATTTTGGTAGGAAAATTTAATATCACTTTGATATATAGTTTTCTGGTTTGAATCCATATGCTGACTTTAGAGAACTAGAAATGTATTTTAGTGCATTTAATGACATTATCAAGCATCCTTGTTTCTTTGGAACAGATTTCTAAGGACCTTTTAGTGCTCTAATACAGGCCCAAGAAGAGGATTTTAATATTATATTTTAAGATCATGCATAAAAATAACAAAAATTATTTTCTTGGTTTTTAGATATGTGGTTTTTAACAACAGAGGAGTGGCGGGAGAGAATCTCTTGGTAAGTAAATGTAAGTTAATGACAGCAGCTTAATTTTTAAGGAAATCATTTCCAGCTTTATAACAAAAAGATACTCTTTTTGATTTAAGATAACTTTTTATATCAATAATACAAGTTCATTGTGGAAAAATACAGGTAAGGGGAGAAAAAGGAAACTTGTAAAACCCATAATTATACAACCAGGGGAATCCTCTTAGTCTGTGTTCATCCAAATCTTATATTTAAATTTTAAAATGTTACATATTTCTAATTTTTAAAATAAGGCTTTATTTTGTAACTTAACTTTTATACTTACTGTAGGTTAGCATCAACAAATATTTATCAACATCATTTTTAATGAAAAACATATTTTCTTTAAAAATTAACTAGTGCCAAAAAAAATTAACGAATAGAGTAATACTTGATTTACTTAAGAAATTTATTGTTATTTGAAACAGATTGACTGCATGTTATATGCTTATTTGCCTGCCAAAGTTTACATAGAGGAGATATTATTTTAAATCATTTTTCCCCCCTTTTCTAACCCCTAAGCTTTTGCTCGGATAGAATTTCTTGCATCTCTTGGAAAATCATCACTATCTGGTGTTTTACCTGTGAGTTGGAATGAGAACTATTATACTCACTGAAATTTTCTTGAAGCTTTTCAACTGTTAGTCCCTCACCACTTCAACAGGTCAAAGGCAATTCTATCAGAGTAGAAAGAACCATTTTTTTTTGAATCATTGATAGAGAATGATATTAAGACTATAAATAATTAAGTCATGCTGGAAATAAAAATTTACAATCATGTCACTATGTTGGTACATTATGAGAATTTGGGGGGAGAAAAGAGCTCTTGCACTTTGCTTGATAAATCCTGGAGGGGATCAAGATCAACCTGATTGCGAAAGCTAAAGTTATAAAGTGTTTACGGTCTTACTCTAGTTCCTTGTGAAGGAGAAGATTCTGCTTTCCTTATTTGGTCCAGCCCTGTAGGAATCTCATAGGTAAGTTTGTAGGTACTCTAAAAGGAAAGATTTGAACCTGTCACTGGCTCTGGACCAAGCCAGTCATTTCTGAGCAGCTCCTGTCTGCTGTGTGTCCTTCCAGATGCTTCCAGGACACAAAGCTGGGAAAAGCATGGTCTTAGGCTCTCAAGAAAATAACGCGCTGAAAAGTAAAGGCCGTTTGGTCCCATAAAATGAGAACAAAGGATCTGTTTGTTCAGCAAAGCTGTGTTGTATGCCTATTAAATCAGGTACCTGTACAAGGCCATAGTGAGGAGTGCACACATTATTAAACACAGCCCTAACCCTTTCTTAGGAAACTTGAGTTGCAAGAGATATATAAAAACATATCCAGTACGGTGCTAATTGTGACCACTAAAAGGTGTATTAAGGCTACAGATATTAGAGGGAAGGAGTAACTAACTCCCGGGGAAGGTGGGAGAACACGACAGTGGTGGTGGGTTTTAGCTGCATCTTAAAGGTTATGGTGTTGAACCAGCAGAGGGGAGAGAGAAGCTTTCTCAGCATAAAGAATGAGATGTTAAAGAGCGCAGACAGCAAGTACTTATTTGTGGAGGGATAACGATGGTGATCATTTTCTCTAATGTTTATTGAGTCCTTAGAATATATCAGTTATGTCTTTTCCTATTGATGTTCAGCAATAGAGACAAGCCTGTGATTTAGGTGAGCATAGCCACCATGATCCCCATTTTCCAGATGAAGAAAATGAGGCACAAGTAGGCTAAGCATGTGCCCTCACCAAGAAATTCAGAGCCAGGATTCAGACCAGGTAGGCTGACTGTGTGCTTATGTTCTTTACGTTTGTGCTGTACTCCTTCTTATTGCTCAAGGAGTGCTAGGAATTCTCCCAGAAAGGGAGGGCAAGATTTTGAAGAGTCATATGTAAAACCCCAAGGAACCTAGTGTTGAACCATTGATTCTTTCTAAAGTTTCTTTTATGGATGTATAATTGACATATAAAATAACTTAGTCATGTTTTAGAAAGAAAACCACAGCAGAAAAGTGACAGAGGGGAAGGAGGCTTGGAGGCTTGGCAATTAATTACTAAAGATCTATCCAGAGTGTGAAGGGCTTCCCTGGTGGCTCAGTGGTAAAGAATCTGCCTGCCAGTGCAGGAGATGCAGGTTTGATCCTTGGGTTGGGAAGATCCCCTGGAGAAGGAAATAGTAACCCACTCCAATATTCTTGTCTGGGAAATCTCATGGACAGAGGAGTCTGGTGGGCTGTAGTCCATAGGGTCGCAAAAGAGTTGGACACCAAACAAGAAACTATCAAGAACATAAGCACACAGTCAGCCTACCTGGTCTGAGCAACCAAACAGCAACAATCCAGAGTGTGAATGTAGAGGTAGGGGAAGAGAACAGAAATGAGGGGTTTTTCTGGGGCAGAAAGAAAAGTATTCATTGTATTGTGGGAAGTGGAGAGAAGGGAGTCAACGTCAGCATGTCTAGTTTTGCTGAGTTGTAAAAGGCTAATATGGTGAAGGGTAATATTTACCGAAATAGGAAATGTAGGAGAATTTACAAGATTTTGGTGTTATCAAAATAACAAGTTCAGTTTTAGATGTTGGGGGTGCTTTGATGTCATCCAGGTGGAAATTTCTCGTAAACACTCAGATGTACTAGACTGGTTGTCAGAAGAGACATACAGGCTGGAGAAAGGCACCATGGATTATGGGTATACAGTGGAACCAGGAGGTCAGGAGTGGATGAGATTGCTTAGGAACCGTTGGTCTAGCAAAGGATAGACTCTTAGAACACGACAAACAGGAAGAAGAGAAAAAGATGAAGAGGAGGAAGCTTGGGAAAACTTCTGCTCTGAGCATTTACATTTAATTGGAAATTTACTTTGAAAGAGGGCAGCAACCCAGTAACGTTGAGCCATAAATTTGCATCTACATGCTCAGTCATGTTCGACTCTGCCTGCCAGGTTCCTCTGTCCCTGGGATTTTCCTGGCAAGAATACTGGAATGGGTTGCCATTTCCTCCAGGGGATCTACTCAACCCAGGGATCAAACCTGAGTCTCCTGCATTGCAGACAGATTCTTTAGCTCTGAGCCACTGGGAAAGCCCCATAAACTTGCATAGATTAAAAAAAAAATCTCCACAAGAATACTTCAGGAGATTTTTTTTTTTTTTAAACTATGGAAATAAGTTTTATTTTTAATCTTCTGAAGTAAAAAAGCTGTTAACAAGACAGTTGATACCTGGTTACCTCAGACAGAATTATTTTTTTCCCTTGAAAATGCACTTTCACTGCACTCTTTAGGAAACAGGCCAGAAGAAACTTGCATTTAACAAGTTCTGTTAAGAACATTCTACCACATTCATGTTTTTCATGATGTTGGAAACACTGTTACATGTCAGTTTAACCTATCTCTCAGAAGAAGAATTAAGACAATTGAAATAACTAGTTCTCTAATCTTTAGTTCTGTTTCCACAAATAAAATCTAATACTTTTCACAATGAGAAAGTAAAAAATAATATAAAAACAAACCTAGCTAACCTGAAATCATTTATCCCCTTTATCCAGATAACAGGTTGATAACAGGAGATCCACAGAAGAATATGTTGGTGATTCTTCTTTAACCACTTACCTAACTCTGGGTCGAAGATAATAAATAACAGCAATGTACAATCCATAAGCGTATATAAATTCTGTATCACATTTTCCCTATTTTCTAAGGAAAGAAAACAGGTTTGATGTGTAAGAGGAAGAGCAGTGAAAAACACTGCTAAAAGGCAGTTTTGCTGTCATCACTGCTTACTCAAGAAGTACCCACATTAACCTTCTAGCAAAATAGCTACTGCCTATGACCCAAAATGTGATACGTGATTCAAAGGTGATTCTAAGTAAACATGCTTAATGTAAATGAAAAGCAACATTCCTTTTAAAGTAAAAATTGCCACACTGTTTTTGAAACTGAAAATATAAGAGTAAGGTAAAACAGCAAATTCGTGTGTTGAGACAATTATTTACCATAATCAATTCAAGTATAATCTGGAAGTTCTCAAATTATTTATTTTCCACTCAAGCAAAGACACTTAGGCCACCGCAGTCATTTCCTCGTCTGTGTCACTTGACTCATCTTTCAGTTCCAATTCCGCTAAATCTCTGTCTACAGCTGTCACAGCTTTCTTCTTACACTTCTTGGGCACCGCATCGCTAGCACAGACTTTTCTCATTTTAATGTTTGGCAATTTCTTCAGATCAAAATCCCATTCTCTAAAAGTTTTCAGATTATCTGCATTTAAAATGTCTGGAATCTCGAGGCCGTGGGCCTGGTACTGCCGCCGCTCCTGCTCCAGGGTCTGCCTGATGGCCGCCTCCCGAGAGCAGTGCCTCCGGCCCTGCCTGTCCTTGAAGCTGTTCCGCAGTTCAATCTGCTCCAGCTCGCTGCTGAATCGATTCAAATACCTTTCAATTAATTCACAAGCATCTCTTTTTGAATATCCTACTTTTTTGGGATCAAGGTGAGTTTGAAACCACTGCAGTTTTTCACCAATAAGGCTGAGACGCAATGCCCTTTCATTCTTCAATTTTTCCTTTTTTTCTTGTTTGTGGGCCTCTCTTGTAATTTGAGCTGCTTTTCTACTATATGGATGGATGACTTTTTTCTTCTTGTCCTACACTTTTTCCCTTTGGTGCTTTAGGCATGGTGCCATTCTCACGGCCCGGGCCTCCGGAACTTCGATTCCACACGCCAGCACCTGACTGCCTGCAGCAGTCTCTTCAGGAGATTTTACAAAGGGATAGTAATTAGGTAATTTTTTTTTTTAACTTTTAAAGAACTCACTGAGTTCTAAGCAGGAGGATAAGAGAAGCTCGGTCTCTGGCGTCTGTTACAGTGCTTTGGTTGAATTCTGATGAACTGATACCCCCAGCAAATATCTGTATCCTAAAGGCTAATTCGATCTAACTTTAAAAAGAATAGGATATCAAATGACTTAAATGTAATGACTAAGATCATGGTATCTGGTCCCATCACTTCAT